AACCATGAGTGATATGAGCATCTAAACCCATGATTCTAAGCCTTTGGAAGAAAAACAACAGCCTGCACTTACCCAGTGCTCTCTGTACAACTTGCAGGATTGTTATGAATGCTTTACAGAGGGCAGTGTCTTTAGTACAGAGCACACACCTATGAGCAGGTGCCAGGACCATTTCCCATTTGTATATGCAGAAGTCTCGGCACCAAGAAGCCAGGTCACCAACCAAGTCCTCACAGCTGGTCAGTGGTGGAGCTGGACTGTGAACCCAGGCTGGCCGGCTCCGAAGTTCTCAGTCTCAACCACTCTGCATGCTCCTTGAAAGGACTCTGCCAGGCCTAAGTGGAGATGGATTAGGGCAGTGGTTGGCAAACAGTGGCTTGAGAGCTGCGGTTTGCCACTCTGTTGACTAATGAGTTTGCCGACCACTGCCTTAGGAAAACACTTAAAAAACATTTTAATAATATACTAATGTCTTTAACCTGAAGTCAAAACTTCTGGGCAAGGGTAATGCCTTACTCAGTGGTCAGCAAACTCATTAGTCAACAGAATGGCAAACCGTAGCTCGAGCCGCAGTTTGCAGATCACTGGATTAGGGCAAACTTCCTGCTTGAGGATGTGCCTGTAGGAATCCTGGGATCAGGAGGCAAGAAGGAGAGAGCACCTTCATCACTGAATTGTTGATGATCTGAGACCCGGGCAAGAGGACAGCAGAGGAATAATAATAAAAACAATTTAACATGAGACTAAAAGTTCTCACACTTCTTGGTACTTTGCACTGCAGACATCATTCTGTTACCATGATGACACACTGATGTTCTGCGATGACCAAGAGCAGCCGCCACTCCTGGAAGGGGTCATTGCCACCCCCCTGATGCCCCATCAGCTCTTCTGTCCTGTTCTTACAGGAGACTGCATAGAGGCTCACAGGGAGGACAGGGGTGTTGCTAAAAGCCCCCAGCTGGCCACTTGATGCCTGCTTCCTTGTCAACCCTGTGGAGCAAACCCTTCAACACCTGTGATGGAGACGGCCACTCATTTCTAAGATGCTGGCTCCCCACCAGGACATTTAGAGAATAGTTCTTTTGCATTTAAAACATAAAAAAAATAAAAATCTAAAGCAAAGCAAAACAAAAATCCCATAAATCATGGCATACCTATTCATTAAGAGTAAATTTCTTTCTAGAAACAATCAAACGTCATTTGAAGCCAACTATACTATGTAATAAAAGCCTAATATGCTGAGTGTCTGACCATTCATTCGACCGTTTGACCAGTCACTATGATGCACACTGACCACCATGGGGCAGATGCTCCAACTGGTGGATTAGCTTGCTGCTGGGGTCTGGCAGATCCTTCCCAGGCCCTGATCATGCACTGGTGGGGCCCTTCAGCCTGGCCTGCATCCTCTCGTCTCGCAATCTGGGACGCCTCAGGGGATGTCATAGGCCAGGCTGAGGGACCCCACTGGTGCACATCTGTGCACTGGACCTCTAGTAATACATAATGCACATGGCCAGGCTGGAGGCCATGGCTTCTGGTTGATATTAACGTGCAAGCATGAAAGCGTTTCATTTTGATTCTTGGCTCATTTCAGCTTTGACAGCCTTTTCCAAAGAGGAGCCCATGGGTGCTGAGGATTGGGAAAGCACTGGGTGCTGCACCCCTCTTTCCAAAGGAAGCCTTGGAAGGAGCAAGCCGTGGTGCTCCAGCGCCTGCTTGGGGTGATTTGTTCATAAGAAATAAGTCTAATTCATTGACCTAAAAACAACCTAGCACCCATCTTGTTTTGTGTTGGGATCTGAGAGTGAGCAGGCCTTGACGGGGCTTTGAGGGTCCCACAGATGCATTTCGAGGTGACAGTTCTTTCTCTTTACTCCACGCTCTCCCCCCCCCCCCCCTATGTTCATTATCATGCAAACACTGATCGCCTCAGGCTAAAACAGAATATATGATGGCCATGACTACAGGACCAATTATTTCAAAGGGATCCACAGAATGAAATGTATGACATTCATTAAGTTTCCCTCTACCTGATCCACCCCATTGCCTCTGCCAATTAAAATAACTGCACATGAGTTTTTAGAGTGCTATTTATTTTCCTTTGTAGATTTTAGAATATAAATATTTAAAATGGCAATATAAAAAAAAATTATATGACAATGGTAAGAAAAGCATTTGGCCGGGAGTGGAAGGATGGCAGAATGATGTCTCTTACTCTAATTCTGGTTTCAGTTACTAAATAGTCACCCCTGGAAACATGCCAGCTTCCCTGACAGATGCAAATACAGTTTTGATCAGATAAGTCACTGGTTTCCTCACTGGCATAATATAACAAAATGAAATAAGAGAAAAATGAAATTTTAAAACAAGCAGACAATATCTTAATTAGTGATAAAGTGGAAAATACACTCAATTGGAAACATTTCTTCAATTTGGGGTAATGGATTTTTATGGTTATCAGCTAGTGAGCAGAAGATACTATTCTTAATAAATTGAATCCATATATTTCACAATGGTGTAAAATTTCAATGAGCATACCACACACACACACATACACACAAACACACACACACACACACACACACACAAAGAGAGAGAGAGGGAGAGAGAGAGAGAGAGAGAGAGAGAGAGAGAGAGAGATCACCTTTAATAGAAAACAGATGAGTTACTCTCTTTATATTGTCCAAACTCTGCACTGCTGAAAAATTAATAGGTATTTTTATTTGAGCTAAGCAGATACAAATGACAAAGTAAAACAGAAAATCATAATAAGTGACATGTAATTCTATCTTTATGTGGGATCAATATAAGATATTTAGGCTTCAAGATGAAAAAAATATTGTTTGACCATTCCCTAAATTTCTGGTGCATGAACGCAATAGATGGTCAGCAAATGCAGGCTGGGTTAAATTAAATGGAAATTGTTGAATTAAAACTGCTGCTAACACAAAATTTCACATTCAACTTACATTATCTGAGATTAAATCTTCGACTGTGAGTTTAATTTTTAAAGTAGAAATTGGAAGTATCGTTTTTATTATGACGTCTCATATCTACGTGTCTGTTAAGAATGATGTAGAAGAATGTTGGCTCATTCCCTATCTACCTACCCACATACAACACACAATTTGGAGAGCTTAGGAAAAAAAGTTGATAATATTCCATGGCCATTTAGTTTTATTTTTAGATGTGTACTTTTCCCCCCAGTTAATGAAGCAAAATTCAAACGCTTTGGAAAACACAGAAAATTATGGACACACACAAAAAAAATCTTCCAAAGTCCCCATATTAAAAAATGAGCGGCCCCAGCCAGTTGCTCAGTGGTTAGAGCTTCAGCCCGTGTCAACCAAAGGGTCGCCAGTTGGATTCCTGTCAAGGGCACACACCTTGGTTACAGGCTTGATCCTTGGTCTAGTCCCAGTGCGTGCGTGTGGGAGGCAATCAACCGATGTGTCTATCTCACATTAATGTTTCTCCCTGACTCTCTCCCTTCCTTACACTCTCTCTAAAAATCAATGGGAAAACTATCCTGAGGTGAGGATTAATGAAAAAAAAAAAAAAAAAAAAGAGTATTACCTGAACTTGGTATATTCTCTTTCTTTGCATGTGTGTGGATGTGATATATATATATATATATATATATATATATATATATATATATATATATTTAGATGAAATCGTATTGTTGTGTATAATTCTAAATCCTGTATTTTCACTTTGAGCATTGGGCCACCAAAAATTAGTCGTAAACATGTTTCCGATGATGGCATGGTACTACATGAACGTAGCTCCACTGCAAATCATTTAACTACATCCCCACTCTGAACACCAGAATTGTTTCCAACTTTCATTATTAAAAAGAATACGAGGAAACTTCTATGCACATAAATCTCTATTTCTGATGATTTCCTTAAGATTGAAATAGAGTTGGGGGTGAGGGATGTAAATATGCTAATGGTCTTGCACAGCTAGCTAGCTATCGTTCAGAAAGGCCGAATGGACCTAACACATTGGATATGTGGGTGAGCATTGCCTCACATTCCTGTCAACAATTATAACTTGAGACACAGATACATCTTGTCCTCCTCAGAGGCCTTTGTTGGGGAAGCTGACCAAGGAGGAAACGCCTCAGCATGGACAGAGGCTCTAAGATAGTCCAATGATCCCCATATCCTGGTGCTCACACCCTCCTGCCCTCCCCTCTGCCTGGGTGTGACCCTTGACCTGCTTCTAACCCACCGAATGGGGCAAAGATGAGGCGTGCCACTTTTGTGATGTTTGCAGGCTTTGGTGAGCAGGTTCTCACACGGAGGGGCCCCATGGCACTGAGTCGGGGCTGTGTTCGGCCAATAATGCACTGGAAAACGGAGGCTCCCATCTGACAGCCCACGGGGGCTAAGTCCTGCTAACAGCCACACACACAGAAAAGCAGATCCTTCCCCTGTTGAGCCTCAGAGGGGATCCCAATCAGGCCATCACCTTGACTGCAGCCTGGGAGATGCTGGGCAAGGCATCCAGCCAAGCCCAGACTCCTGACCCATGGCAACCGAGAGAACATGCCTGTGTGTGAGAGCTGCTCAGTTGGTGGTAATTTGTGACACAGCAGTAGGTAACGAATACACCCTTTCAAGTCTGCTTCAGTCATTGTCCCCCAAAGGCAGCATATCAGGGCATCCTGGTGACCACCAATACTAACAAAGACGAGTGCACTGCCCACATCAGCCAGAACAGCATATGGTGAGCGGCTCAGCACCTGTGTCCACATCCCAGGAGTCCGCAGATTCTAACAGAGCCGGGTGTGGGGACACACCCCTGCTCTCTTCCCCCTAGGCAGGCGTCTATCAAGTACAGGTGATTCCACCTCTGTCAATCCCTGGTTGTTCATTTTTCTTTCCTCTCTCCCCTCAAGGAAGACTGGCTAAGGAACACTCAAACCATACAGGTGCTATTGACTTTCAGGAAAGTGGACACATGCTGTGTGCGTGTGTAAGCAAACTTACCATGCCCAGGAACACCATCTCATCTTCTCTGTCTCTTTTGGTTTTCTTATTTTGATGGAAACCTCGCCAAACCTAAAAACAAAGTAATGGTTACTTGTTTTGTATATAAAAATATAAAAGAGAGCATTATCCTACTGTTTCTACCATATAAATGCACGTGCCAAAGGACAGGCTGTGCACACAAGGTTGGCTGGCAGGGGAGAGCAGTTGTGGGTGATCAGGCCAGCAGGGGAGGGCAGTAGGGGGTGATCGGGCCAGTAGGTGTGGGGCAGTTGGGGGCAACCAGTCTGGCAGGGGAGTGGTTAGGGGGTGATCAGGCTGGCAGGCAGAAGCTGTTAGGGGCAATCAGGCAGGCAGGCAGGCAGGCAAGCAGTTGGGAGCCAGCAGTCCTGGATTGTGAGAAGGATCCCAGATTGGAGAGGGTACAGGCTGGGCTGAGGAACCCACCCCCCCAACCCCCACCCTCTCACCCCTGCACAAATTTCATGCACCAGGTCTCTAGTGTGGTTTATAATATAATGAAATTATTTAGCCATAAAAAGTAAAAAAAACGTGCTATTTGAGACAACATGGATGAACTTGAGGACATTATGCTGAGTGGGATAAATCAGACAGAGAAAGACAAATACTGTATGATCTCGCTTACACATCAGTTCTAAAAATACCAAACCCATGGAAACAGAGAGCAGATTTGTAGTTGCCAAGGGCTGGGATGGGGGCTATGTGCGAAGGTATTATACTAACTTCCAAGTATAAGATGAGTGCAAACTTCAGGGGATCTAATATACAGCATGGGGACCAGAGTTAATGACACTGTATCGTACCCTTAAAAGAGCTGCTTTTAAATGTTCTCACTATAAGGAAAAATGGCAGTTAGGTGAGGTAAAGGCCGTGTGGATTAACCTTACTGTGGTCACTATTTTACAATATATTCGTGTGTCCAGTTATGACATATATCTTAAAACCCACACAATATTCTATATCAAATACATCTCAGTAAGGTTGGGGTGGGAAGGAATGGCCTATAATTGTCCTCTGAGAGATTTCCCTATCTGGGTTTCTTCCAGACAAACTTCTGGATTGCAGGGACTGGATCTAAGGGCGTTAATTCATAGTTTCAAAAGAAAACCTCTGCCAGTCACATGGGGGAAATATAAAAGTAGCGCTGAATTGCACAACTCAGCTGTGAACTCAAATGCTGATTTAGAACTTCATATCTGCCTAGAAACCAGACAGAAGATAGGCTCTTATCTGCCCCTCCCCTGCCCCTCGCTGCCATTCAAACACCATAAGGGGCAAGCTTCCGTCCTCCCTGCTCCGGCTCACGCTCTTGTACTTCCTCTCTCTCCAGCCTACTTCTAACTTGTCACATGCCACGTTTTGCATTTGCCTATAAGCAACGTGGTCTGTATTTGAAAAACGACGGGGCATAAACCTGAGAGGAGGAAACCTCAAGGCCCGCTTTCTAAAAGGGCAGGTCTCACGGCGCTGGTCTCTGGGGCTCTGTGTGAAGGACACCAACCCCTTCTGCACTGTAGGTCCATGTGTCAGTGGATTTTAAAAATTCATTAAGGATTTATATTCTCACTGAGCTTTCATCAGCATTCTTTCCAGCAATTATCAACGATTTCAAACACATTTGAAGAAAATGTCTAGACCTATTTATAATAAAATTTAAAAAACAGGACCAAGCTTGGTTCACGGTTTCCCCAGGGTAAGAAAGCCAATCTTTCTGGGATTTCTTCTGGCTGTACTGATGGTAAGATGTTGGAATTCCGGGTTTCAGAGCTGACCGTACCCTGGTACGCGTCCCTGGCCTGTCAGACACCCGGTCCCTGGGGCGGAGAGCCCTCCCCCCCCTCCCGACACACCTTCTGGATCCGCAGTGCCGCTGCCGCCACGTCAGCCACCTTCTCGCCGAGGAGCCTGGCCTGCCTTGCTCTGTATTCTTGAAGGAAGATCTGCTTCATGAACAGTGCTCTCAGGCGACCTTGCCGCGCCCTCTCCGCAATCTGAATTAATTTCACAGCCTGTTCTATGGAAAAAGCCTTTACAGAGGATTTCTGAAAAAAAAAAAAAAAAAATTGAGATCAACCAATATTTCAACGTGCTAACTGTACCAACTGATCCCAGAAACATCACAGGCTTACTGCCAGCCCAACTCTGCAGAGCTGCCAAACTGCTGATAAGGAGTGTGACATCCACCCAATACTAATCATCTTCCCCGTGACGTATGTATGTTTTGATAATATGCCATCCTCGTGCCGTGGTCCCACATGTAAGCATCCCTTCAGCTTTCCTCTACCATTCCAAACAAAACACTAATTAGCTCCACATTTTAGATTGACAGCAAATTATACTAAGAATGCCAATAAAGTTGATTTAATGAAACTTGAAATGGCTATCAATGTCCATTAATTTAATAGTATAAACATGAATTAAAAACACATCTCTAGCTCGGCTGGTGTGGCTTAGGGGTTGAGCATTGTCTAGTGTACCAAGAGGTCACGGGTTTGACTCCCTTAAGGACACATGCCCAGGTTGCAGGCTTGCTCTCTAGTAGGGGCCGCTCAGGAAATAGCCAATTGATATATCTCTCTCTCATCAATTTTTCTATTTCTCTCTCTAAAATCAATAAAAACATATTAAAAAAAACTTGATACAAACAAAAAAACCAACACATCTCTGAAAATTTAAAACGTAAAATACACTTGAAGTAAAATGCTGACTTAAAAACCCATTATAGAATGATCTGGTGAACATAACTAATGCTAGGATTACTGGAGAAGTGTTAACTCTACATATGAAATGTCTTCCAGTATCTACAAGTTTGCATTTCAAAACATTCAGACATGATGGCCTTGCACAGTACAGGGCTGTCTTTGGAGGCGAAGTCAGATGAGGGAATGTGATGTTTTGGAGGAAAGAGGGGTAAAAGCAAGGCTGCAGAGGCACCCAGGGGCCTGCAGTATTCAGTGTGGCCTTCGGTTTTCCTGGGAGAGAAGAGTCTGTGCATGCGGTCTGGCATGGGCAGAGCCTCACACATGGAAGGGGCAGATGGGAGAGGCCACTGGAATCAAAAACTCCCAAGCACAGGCCTCAGGGTAGCAATGGCTATGATAGCAGGATACAGCGCAAGGCACTGAGGTCCCAAGTGTGGCTGCTCCAATTCACCCCCCAGGCCATCACTTCTCTGTGTAACAGTGTTTACGTGAATGTGTGTGCACATGTGTATGAACAGGAAAGAGAGCAAAGGGACATTTATTGAGACACTTTCCATACACATCCTCATCCAAAGCAACCTCCAAGGCAGGTGTTGCAGTGGCCACTTAAGGGTTAAGAATTCTGGGGCTCCAAGAAGTAAAGTAATATGTATGCTTTCCCTGGTTAGTAAGGGGTGGAGCCAATTTGAAGGAGAGGCCCCTCCTGCCTCTAGAGCAGTCACCACTCCTCAGTGTGGGCTTGGTTCCTTAGAGGAAGCAAATTCACCTAGTAATCCCCCAGAGTTCTGTGTTCAGAGAGCTCTCGTCCTCCACATTTGCAGCAAGCTCACATTTTCAATAACGAAAGTGTGTGCCTTAGAGTGGAAAGAATGTTATTCAGGCTTTAAGTCAGAAGATGAGGGTAAAAGCACTCAAGCAGATAGCAGGTGGTTAGCTCTTATTGTATTTATTTCCTTTAGATTCCATACTGTCTATTGTTCTGAAGATAATTACAGTCCTTACCGGCTACTTCTAAGGGATGGAGTAGTGGATGCAACAAAAATAGAGGCTCCGAAAGTAAATGTTAAGCATAACAAATATAGAAGTGGACAACAATTTTCATTTATCAGAATTCCTCTTGGGGTATATATTGCGTATATTTTCCAGAAATAAGCAGCTTAAGAGGAGAGTGGGGGTCCAGTGAGACCAGGAAGGGTGTGGGGACATCAGTCAAATGCCCAGGGCTGGTGCCAGAAGCCAGGAGCCTTTTTTATTTTTTAATATATTCTTATTGATTTCAGAGAGGAAGGGAGAAGGAGAGAGAGATAGAAACATCAATGTTGAGAGAGAATCATTGCCTGTCTCCTGCACACCCCACACTGGAGATCGAGCCTGCAACCTGGGTATGTGCCTTGACTGGGAATTGAGCTGTAACCTCCTGGTCCATAAGTGATGCTCAACTATTGAGCCACACTAGCTGGGCAGAAGCCAGGAGCCAGAGCTGAGCAGGGACAGGGCTGGATGCTGAGGAGGGAAGAGCCTCCTTGCTGCTGACCCACACAGAGGAAGAGGAACTGGGGGGAAAGGAGGAAAGAAACAGCAAAGAGGAATTTTTAGGGTTTTCCTGTAGCATGTGCGATGTCATCTCCCTTCTCTGCTACTCTGTGCAACTTTAATTCTGCTCCCTTGCCAGTACTTTGGGCTCAGGGTTGGGGTGGAACGGGGAGGTGACTAAATGAAGGGCTTTGTGCAGGCTGAGCATGAACTGAAGGTCAGACACAGGGTTCCAGGGGTGAGGATGGCTAGATAACACAGGCAAGTCAGCCCTGGGACCTAGTTCCAGGTTTGTCCAATGTGGGTTAGTCACTTAGGGCAGTGTTTCCCAAACTTTTGACATATGTGTACCCCTTCTATAATTTTCGTAACGCTGAGTACCCCTCGTACTCATGAGAATGTAGAATTAGGTGCAGCTAAGCACGGTGCAGTGCATATCCCCACCAAACTCCGGTGCAACGCGTACCCCATCAAACTCTTCCCGTACCCCTGGGGGTACACATACCACACTTTGGGAAACACTGACTTAGGGGACAGGCGCAGGAAGGAAAGTCAATCTCCAAGTAGGGGCTTCAGGAAAGAATTCCTGAGGGAATGAGTATTATTTGGATAGACTGGGACAGAGGGAGGAGAGGGAGCCCCCTCCGCCCAGGAAGCAAACTCGCCTACTCAAAACGAGAGACAGTATAAGGTTGGTGAACCCAGAGCATGCGATCCCATTCCATCACCACTCAGCATGAACCTGGAGTCAGGCTGGCAGTGCTGAACGGGGCCTGGGTGTAGGGAGACGGCACATGCGAGCCATCCTGGGCTGGCAGGGGCGGCATGGCTGCCAAGAGTGTCTGGTTTGCTTTGAACTTGAAGTTGTAAAGGTCAACCAGTTTTTTTAGAAAGTGTAGTCATCTTTGAGTTCTGAGTAAGTTATCTCAGCCCTCCATTATTTTATATGAACACCATTTAGCTTCTGACTTAGGCGAAGTGAATTTGAGATGTAAAAATTAAACCGAGTTGCTAATTTTAGAGGTGGTGATTTAACCAATAGCGTATTATGTTTTGGTCTCCATTTCTAAGTTCTTGACAAATAATGGTTATGAATCACTAAATCTTCTATACTGAATAACAAGGGAAAAAGGTACTGCTCTCCTCACACTAAAAATAATCTAATTGCTTCTCAATTAGGAGCATAAAAAGTAGATTTTGTAGATTACAGAATAATATGTGTTAAAAGGATATACGAACCATTTCACGCATGTCTAATCCAGTGTCGGCTAATATTTGAGCAAGGATTTTCTCTCTTCCTTTTATTACTTCCAACTTCTCCTTCAAAAAATACTTGGGTATGGGAATATCTAATTGTTGCTAGAGAAAGAGAAAAAATAAGCAAAAGAGCATTTTTGTCACAATTCCAGGATTCAAATCCATGTAAAATATACAGTAAGAACGTGACAGGCTTGACTTCCCATCCTCATTTCAGAGACGATGAGGCTGGCGGTGTGAGGAGAGTTCATCACTGCTAAGGAGACACAAATAAAGTCAAAAGGAAAAACTGTACCCATATTCCTTGTTTTAATCATTACAGTAAGATTTCAGTAATTTATATCAGTTAGGCTTCCATTAACTAATGAATTTATTTTAAGAAATGTAATATCATCTCAGTCTACCTAGAATAATAATGCAAATTAGGATAGCAAAATCTTGAACTACAGAGATCTTTGAGTTAAACCTAATAATTTATCACTAGCATCATCAAATTTTGGACATAATGATCACAATTTTTTTCCTCCTCATAACTTGTTTTATTTTTACCCAAATTATTCCATTACAAAAATCACTTACAAAATTAATTTGCATTATTAGGAAGCTTGTATTTTTAAAATATATTTTATTGATTTTTTTTACAGAGAGGAAGAGAGAGGAATAGAGAGTTAGAAACATCGATGAGAGAGAATCATCGATCAGCTGCCTCCTACTGGGGATATGCCCGCAACCAAGGTACATGCCCCTGACCGAAATCGAACCCGGGACCTCCCAGTCCGCAGTCTGACGCTCTATCCCTTGAGCCAAACCGGTTTTGGCAGGAAACTTGTTTTTATAAAAGAAATATAAACTATTCTTCACTATGCACATTACCTAATATTTCAAATTAGTAGAGGTCAAATGAATATTTAGCAGTCTGAGTTCAATAATTAGGAATGGCCGAGCTCAGTGGATAGAGCATCAGCCTGTGGACTGAAAGGTCCCGGGTTCGATTCCGGTCAAGGGCATGTACCTTGGTTGTGGGCACATCCCCAGTATGGGGTGTGCAAGAAACAGCTGATCGATGATTCTCTCTCATTGATGTTTCTAACTCTCTATCCCTCTCTCTTCTCTGTGAAAAATCAATAAAATATATTTAAAAAATAATTAGGAGTGTACAGGATTATTAAGGGCTTAGGTGGGCCCTAGACCAACTCCATTGAGAAACACTGTCTGGATACTCTTGGATTCCTAGCTGCCTTCTGATGGCTGGGGAAAGCTAAAAGTTCTGATTTTCAGGGTTAACTTTCCTTTTCCCTATTCTAATGTGAACTCACACTCTCTGCCCAACCAGGAATTTTGAACAGACCTTCTCCTAAATAAATATTATAGCATAAAAAGGTGTCTTTTTGAGGATTTAGTGGAAGGGGATCCCCTGAACTTCTGGGAGGTGGCAAAAGTTTTTGAAAACCAAACCTTCAGGCAAATGGAGTATTGGGGTGCATTAAGCATGTGTTTCTAGGGTCCAATGGGTGAGTGTGGTCAGGGACAAAGAAAAGTCAGGGGAGAATGATTACATTTTTATTTTATGTTGTGATTTTTATCAAGATTTTATTTATTAGCAAGCATGTTCAAGTGTTATACTTTTCTCAAGTGCGTTCTCTCTCCTTCCCTCTCTCTCTCTCTCTCTCTCTCTCTCTCTCTCTCTTTCTTCTTTCCCCTCCTACATGTTTTTCTGCACTTGGAGACCTATTAGGGAAGTCTCCTGGTTCTACAGGTTCCATCAAATAGTTGGGTGCTGGCCCCCAAACACAGAGGACCTGCAGGCTAAGCAGGTGACAGAAGCCCAAATACTGAGGATGCTGGTTTCCACCCTGAAATACAGGACTAGTCCCCACAGAAACTTCTAAAGGTTAGTGTGTCTCCCTGATCAGGGCACTGCTTATGAAGTCCATGCACTTATATCGGATGCACCCTCTAATCAGCTGGATCTCAGTGTTGTCAAATGTTTCAGTCCACATATTCCAGGATTGGCAGAAAACATTGTTGATAGTTTCCTGCTATGAAGGCTTCCAGGAGGATGTCACCTATTCTTCATCTCTCTCACTGCTCAGTGGCTTCATCATCTCTCTCAATGCCCAGTGGCTCTATCATCTCTCCCAATACCCAGTGGCTCTATTATCTCTCTGATGCCCAGTGGCTCTGTCATCCAACCCTCTAACTGCCCAGTGGCTCTATCATCTCTCTCGATGCCCAGTGGCTCTGTCATCTAACCTTCTAACTGCTCGGTGACTCCATCATCTCTCTCACTGCTCAGTGGCTCCATCACCTCTCTCAACGCCCAGTGGCTCCATCATCCCTCTCAAAGCACAATAGTTCTAACATCCTTCTTAATGCCATGGCCTTCAAGAAGATAAACCAGCTGCAGCAGAGTACTGATGGAAGTAGTAAGAAAAGGAGGGAATGAACTGAACAAACCTGCCATATAAATTGCATACATTTCTTATTCCTTAAATTTTGGAATGTTTATTTAATATACTTAAAATTAAATTGATAAATTCAATCATTGGATATGATTGAATGACTATTTCATGTTTATCCTAAGTTGTTCTTGATATTTTCACATGGGTGAGTAAAGTACATGACCTAAAAAGGCTTTAATTCAAGCTCTTATCAATAAATGCCATAAATATGAAGGTTTTCAAATGATCTTTAGCATTTTCATTCATTTCAGTTATTTTCTTCAATCTTTAGGCTACTCTGATAAAATGCACTACTGTTAGGAAAATCTATCCCAGAAAGAAACATAACCTTTAACGAAGCCCAAATGTTTTCAAAAGGAAGAAACATTAAACCCCATGTAGAAAATGCAACATTTTCTCCTTTCATCTTTACTTTACAGAAATCGTTCCTTTCAAATGAAGCCTGAGCTCAGGGGGCCATGAAGCTGAAGTGTGGGGTCCACTGGCCCTTGGGAGACCCAGCCAGACAGAGTGTCAGAAGAGACCCTGGTGTCTGACAGCAAAGGTCAGAGGGTAGTCACAGGGGCAGAACGCTCACAGGAAGGCATTGTGGCCACAGGTGATGAGTGGGAGACCTCGAGGGCCTCAGAGAGGGAGAGGGAGCCCTTCTTTGGTGCCTGAGGCTTGAAGATCTACTATCACATATCCTCTGAGTCACCAATGACCCAAACAATGGAGGAGATGCATCCTCCTGGGAACAGGGAACCAGCAACCAAGGCTGCTCCTCCAGAAGATGATGGAAAAGAAGCCAGAGAGAGATTTCCTTGGGAAACAGAGTAGAGACACTGCTGATGGAAACTGGGAGGGTTTGCACCATAGGATATCTGGGAAGGGGTCAGTCTGCTTCATTCCAACAGGCCTAGACAGACACCGTGATGACCAGACGACAAAAATCTCAGTGTCCAACAGACCTAAAGACTGTGCCCCAAACGAAGGGAACCCAGGCCATGCCCACGGCAGTGTGGTGGAACTGAAAGGCTGTGCTTCAACCTCCAACACCACAAACAACGAGCAAACTTCTCTAGACAGCCTGGAGAATATTGGTCACAGGACTGCACATCTTATTTAAAACCAAAAGAAACTAATACGAAAAGAGAGCCAAGTACTTACGGGAGCCAACTTTAGATCCTGTAAGATATCATCAAAATAGTGAAACTCGGTTAATTCCAGTTCAACCATTTCGTTCTTCAACTCTAGGATGCGACCCATCACTCCATCCAGTATTTTCCGGATCAGTATTCGTTTCTGCGGATGAATGATCTGGTCATAGACATTCTCCAGGTTTCTAAAGATCTGAACATATTTTATGTAGAAGGTGGCTAACTTTTGGAAGATGAAAACTTGATTTCTGTGTGGCTCTACCGTCTTCTGAGACTCTTTATCAAGCAAACAATTGAGGGCTTCTTGGGTCTGATGCCACATCTTATTGTACATTCTGAGAAAAGACAGAGAGTCCAGATAATGCAATAAGCAACAACGACTTTGTCAGGCATACATCTGGAATAACTAAAGGTAATATCTTCAAGTGTGAGCTCAGAACACTGCATGTAGTCACAAGGCTCTTTAGAGAATTTCTGTCCTGTTTGGATGTATGTGTGATTTTTAGATAGGATAACTTCTATTATTAGCATCAAATCAATAGTTTAAAAAGCCTTTTATTGATATGCTATATCCATAAAACCAGTGTTGAAGCTAGTTAACTGATTTGTCCATATATAGAGCTGGTGGTATATAAATTGGACCAACCACTTTAAAAAGTAACTCAGGATCCTCTTGAAAAATTGAACACGTGCATACACTATGGAAGAACAATTGCACTGCAGAGAAACTCCTGTAAGTCTGCACCCAGAATGACCACAATAACATCTACACTAATAAAAGAGAAAAATGCTAATTGACCGTACCTTTGCTACGCCCACAGCCAATCAGAGCAAGTATACAAATTAACCCAACAAAGATGGCGGTTAATACATACACTGAGGGAGGGAGTAGTGAAGACTGAAGACAGCTTAGAAGGAAGAGGGTGGAAAAGCTGAAAGCAAGGTAGCTGCCAGAGGGAAAGCTTGGGCAGAGCAGGGTGTGGCGGTGTGGGGCAGGTGGAGTGGGCTGCTGCTGCTTGCAGGAATCTTCCTGCAATGGGCTCCTAGTTTCTTTATAATAGCAAAGACCTGGAGATATCCCATGTCCATCAACAAGAGATGAGCACACAGCTGCAGTCTATTCCCCTTGCAGCTATTATATAAGCACCAACCAGGAACCTTGCAAACATGATGGAGAGTGACAAGCTCAGTGCAGACTATGGCTTGGAAGCCGATCTCTAAGAACTGCCTTAGAAGCCCCCTGACTCCAGCTTCCAGCTGGTTGAGACAACACAGTTGGGAGCCTCCAAAGGCTTAGAATGGCAAGGGCTCCAGCGTTGCCAACCCCAAGGCACCACACCATCCCTGGTTGGCTTCTCAGGACTCAACTCACATCTTTGTCATGGGTCCCTTCATTGGTCCCCTGTGCTGTTGATTGTGTCATTCTCTTCCCATCGGGACTTTGCCATTCGTGGCAAAAATGTTTTATGAGGCATTTTGGGTGATTTGGGCTACTTTATTCATATCCAAGAATCAGCACTGAAGTTCAGTATGTCTGGGAAGGGGCTTATCAACCAGTGGGCTTCACCTGGGGGTGAACGGCTGGGCAGGATCCTGGCCACTTTTGGGGGAATAGGAAGATCCAAGAATGTTGGTGTCTGTCCAGGTATCTATCTGCCCACAGAGCAAGTAGGTCAAGGGGGCTGAGAGGTCTCACTCCGTCTTGCGCTCAGTCTGACCACTCCTATGGCTGGCTTCCCCAGGCGCCTGCACACGCCTCCTCTGCCTGATGGGCAGCCCAGCGCTGCTCTGGTTACAGTCCCTGATTCATATCTGGAGCCAGTCCCCGCCCTCCCAGCCCTGCTGAGAAGGACTGGACCTCCTCCCCTCTTCCCAGGGCTCTGCCCAGACCTGGCTTGCTATCTCCCTGGTTGCTGGCCTCTGTTGGTCTCTGCCCTGCCTCTCCTTTCTCATCCGGCCTCCTTTCCCTCCTCCTCCATTTTCCTGATATCCCTTGTCAAATGCTCCAGTGTCCCCTTGACCCTCAAGCATGTTTATAGCCTTTTAAATCTTTTATTGCATTTTTGGAGGTGATCTGAGAGGAGTTGGAGATAAACATGCTCCTTCAATCCACCTTTTTACACAGGGGGCCCCTCCCTACCCTCCCAAGGTCATTGCGAGGCATCCCCTCCACCTGCTCTGCTCTGGCCCCGCTAACTGCCCTTCCTCACATGTGCTCTGCACTTTCCTACGAGTAAGGAGCTGTGAGCACCACTGACTGAGCTCGGACTACATGCCACCTTCTGTCCTACAGGTCATCCTGGCGACATGCCACCAAGAGGACTCCTGTCACTCCCACCACGGTCAGGGGAAGGAGACGGCTTGCTCATGAGTGACGGGGCCAGTGTAGGACCACAGGTGCCTGTGATGTAAGCTCAGACCACAATCCAAAGGGACCCACCTCGGCATCTACCAGAAATGAGTGAGCAACCGCCACCACTAATGCACAGCTATGATTTCTGCTTAGATGGGACAGACACCACTCAGATTTATAGCCCCAAACACCCCACACTTCCTCCCCTTCCCCTGCCCCAGGGAGTTTGGATACTAAATACTTCCCCTGGCACTATCACCACAGGGTTCAAGTGCCTGATTTCTCCAAACTTAGAAATGTTTTAAAAGCATGGCAGGGAAGAGCACTCTGCTTTGTGAACTTGTCAGAAAGTTAGAATCTCCTTCTCCCAGGACGTTTCACTCCACCCATAACACGCGCCCAGAAACCAGTGCTGTTTACCGGAAACAAGCCCACAAAGAACAGTAACAACAACAGCAAGGTCACCTGCCTGTTCAAAACGTCGGGGACATCTTGGCAATTCTACTTGTCATGCTTCAAAAAGGCAAGCAAACAGCAGAGGAGGCAGAATGAGCAGGGCCCGGATGCATTGTGGATCAGAATAAACAGAGGCTTATCAAATGTCTGCCTGGAGAACATAAAATTGTGTAGGGTCGAAGGAAGCCCGGGCTTCCAGCACTGGGGAGGGGACAGTGGGCCAAAGGCGCTCCCCGACCTGACGAGGCCACGGGCTGCGCATTCCTATGGGCTTAACAAATGTTCACATAAAACAGAAAACCCGCCCCGTGTGTTCTGTGAACTAAATAGGGTTTAGAGCCTAAACCTGTCAGTTCATTACAGAAGGAAATTACAGGCTAATGCTGTTTAAACTTGGATCTCAAATTCCACTTAGCAAACAGAACACAAAGCCAGATCAAAAGAACCATTCCCTGTGACCAAGGAGGGGTCATTGTAGAAACTCAGGAGTTAAACACAGGGCTGAACTGAACGCAGAGACAGAGCAGTAAAAACCGGAGGTGATGTCCACAGATACCTACAGATGCCCAATACATTTAAATTTACGATGCGCGCCCAATTAAGAGCATTTTTTACACACCCCAGAGACTAGATGACGATGACTGAGTCAATATGCTGAAATCCAGAAACCAAAAATTATTTGGGCAGAGAAACACACCCAGAAAAACAGGAATCAAAAGGACAGGCATATAGGAAAGGGATTCAGAGAAGAGATTTTAAAAACTGCTTGTAAATTGCAAAATCTAAGGAAATCAGCAACAAAGAAGTCAATTAGTACAGCAAAGTAGCAAGGTGTGGCTAAAACCCACAGCAAAGCTGAAGAAACATCCAGAATGCTAGCTTCAGAGTGCAGAGCAGGCAAAAGGCAATGTCTATTCCTGCCCGAGAGAGCAAATAAAAAGAAAGCAGACTCCTGATGCACAGATTTCATATGACCAAGAATTGGGTAATCATATACTGCAGATTCTATAAATAATTTTAGTCATAGTTTCTGCAGGGGGTGGGGGTGGAGTTGGTGATAAAAGATAAAAGACATCTTATCAGACTTCAAAGCATTGAACACACTGGTAAGCATTAAGGTTGTGCAATAGCTAAGGAGTATGCCTGCATCGGAAGGTGGCGGGGTGACCTGAACCCCACAATGCCCCAAACCCATCGACAGCAAGGAATCTTGGGTAGAAGAGGCATCCACCAGGGGAACCACAGCCAAAGGAACAGAATGGAACACTCCTAGAATTTAAGAGCACCTAGACGCTGCTTCAGAGCAGACCCAGCCAGGGCCTTGTCCAAATTCACCCAGGGGCAGAGAAGCAGAAACCCCTCTAGGGCTGTGGTGGAGCCGACCCCTTCCTGGAACTTTTTTTTTTTTTTTAACATATATTTTTAATTGATTTTTTTACAGAGAGGAAGAGAGAGGGATAGAGAGTTAGAAACATCGATGAGAGAGAATCATCGATCAGCTGCCTCTTGCACACCCCCTACTGGGGATGTGCCCGCAACCATGTTACACGCCCTTGACTGGAATCGAACCCGGGACCCTTCAGTCCGCAGGCTGACACTCTATCCATTGAGCCAAACCGGTCTCGGCCCCCTCCTGGAACTTTTGGCCAAAGACTGTCCTGATGGCTTGAGCCTTCAAGTCCTGCTATCTGGACCACAGTCCCTTCTTCCTCATCCACAGAAGGTCCACTGACCCTTGTTGGAGAGACCAGACAAAGGTTGCTGGTCGATGGGGAAATAGTAAGTAGCTATTTGAGCAAGCCGATCCCCTTACTCTGGAGACTGACTTTGGCTTCAGTGCTTCCCATGTGTGTCCAGGGCCACAATCCCTCTACTGGCTTGTCTGCCAGGCGCCTGGACACTGGCCTCAGCCAGGCCAGCTTGTAGAGCCCTCTCTTCCCCCACAGCCCCAGGCCGGCTTGAGCCTCACTCCACCTCGCTGCTGGGAGGCACAGCATCCTCCAGGCAGTGCCCATGAAGAGTGCATCGGATAAGGGATGCAGAGAGATGATTTTTTAATAAGAGCATTATTGAGCTACTAGAGGCCTGGTGCATGGATTCATTCATGCACAGGTGTGGTCTGGTTGGCCACACCCCCAATGGGGGCCCATCAGGGTGGAGTGGATGGGAGCGGGGGAAGGGACCGCAGGAGGGTTCCAGGGCATGTCTGACTTATCTCACTCAGTCCTGACCGGCCAGACCCCAACAGCAAGCTAACCTACTGGTCAGAGCATCTGCCCCCTGGTGGTCAGTGCACATCATTGCCAGCGGTTGAGTGGCCTTAGCATATTATTAGCATATTATGCTTGGATTGGTTGAACGGATGACCAGACACTTAGCATATTAGGCTTTTATTATATAGGATAATTCACATACCATAAATTCACCCTTTTGAAGTGTACAAATCAGTGTTTTTTAGTATATCCCCAGAGTTACGCAGCCATCACGTTTACCTCATTTCAGAACATTTTCATCACTCCGGACAGTAACCCTATACTTGTTCGTCATCATTCCCAGTTTCCCCAGCCCCTAACAACCACTCAACTAATTTCTGGCTCTACTGGTCTATTCTGGACATTACACGCAAGTGGAATCAGATGATCAGTAGTCCTTTGTGACTGGCGCCTGACCTGGCACAGTGCTTTCAGAGTTCACCATGCCGGAGCCTGTCTCAGTGCTTCATTCCTTTTTATTGCTGACTAACGTTCCACGGCATGGACATGGCACATTTTGTGTGTCCGTTCATCAGCCGCTGTGCATGTGGGTCGCTCTGCCTTCTGGCTACCGTGACTGATGCTGCCATGAGCATTCCTGTGCAGTTTTTGCGTGGACATGTGTTTTTATTTCTCTTGGACATGGCAGAGTGGTTTTTAAAGGCAAAAGCGCTCCATGTTTAAAGTCAGAGCCCGCTTCCTGAGCAGTTGCTCTCAGGCAGGTCACTTAACCTCCTTTGCCTTGACTTCCTTGAGCTGGATACGGACGCCGGCCCCGGACCCCCGAAGGATTACCGCGGGATGGGAGAGCAGATGTGGGAGCGTTCTGGAAATCTTAACTGCACCTTGTAAAGAGGAGGAATTATTTTATCCAGGAGACTACTTAGAATTGTTTAAGTACATGATTGGTTTCAGGCTTGAGCGTATGACCTAGAAACGTTACAGATACTGAAGTCAGGAGGACTGCGGGTGGAGGAGACTGACTATGACAGTTGAAAAAGACCAGATGGTAATATCCATAGCCTGGCAGGGTTCCTAAACTGGAAGTAGGGGTGGGGGGCGGAGGAGGCATGAATATTCAGGCATACCATGTACTTGGGTAGAAAAATCTAAATGCTGCAAAATGGGACTTCTCACCAAGTTATATTACACATGACAGGCCTTCAATTTTCCCACTGTTATCTAGTTGTTAATTCTCTTTCTGGAATATTCCCTGAGGCTTTTTTTTTTTTTTTGGAAGGGAGGCCTGGCTGTCCGCTAAGCACACAGTGGCCCTCCTGGGGAGGCTCCCTTTTCCCCATCAGTGAGGAACTGGGTCAAGGCCTTCCTTGCTCCTTACTGCCCCTTCCAGACCATTCTCCCTCCCTCCCCCAACATTCCCCAGCTTTGAACCTCATTTCATCAGAAGGTACTGCTCACTGCCTCTCAGTGTTTACACCATCTTTCCAGAGCACCCACCCACTGAGCTGCATGTTTCCCGAGACTCCACCCTGCCCTTTTTCCATGATGAACGCTCCTCTCTCTGAAGCCACGGCTTGGACTGGTCCTGTGCCCCCTCCAACAAGACACCACCCGCTTCTCCCTCCTCCTCCCATAGCATCCTGTTTCCTTGACCACTGGGCCATTCCCTCCAGCAAACAAATAGCTTATTGTTTCCTATCTTTTAAAATATCTTTTAAAAAAGGTCTGTCTCCAGGTCCGATTTCCCTGCCACCCACTTACAGCAAAATTCCTTAAAAACTTAGCTGTGCTCACTGCCTACAGTTTCTCCCTTATTCTCTCCTGCACTCACTCTAGGGAGTTTTTCTGTTCCATCGCTCCACTGAAGGTCAAGGTCACCACTGGACTCGGCACTGCCAAGTAAATGTTCATTTCCCAGTTCTCCTCTGACTTGTCTCAGCAGCATTTAAAAGTCTGTTACTACCTCCTCTGAGAAACATTTTCTCCCTCACCTGGTATCCAGGCACCATGATTTCGCTTCTTCCTCACTGAGCATGATTTTAACCCCTTTGTTCAGTTTCTTTTGTCCCCCACCTCTTACCATACAGGAACCAAGCTTAGTCCTTGGACCCTTTTTCCCTTCTGTCTACACTCACTCCATGCCTTATTAAAGACTACCTATACCCCAACAGCCATCAGTTACATTTCACACACAGACCTCCCTCCTGAACTCAAGACTTAAATATTCAACTGCCGATTTGATCTCCATTTGATGCCCAATGGGCATGTCAAACTCCAAATGTCTGAAATGGAACTCCTGATCTATCCCACCCTCAATCTCTCTTATTTCCATGCCTGGGAAAAGGGTTAGTAGCAGCACCAGCGGGGGTTACAGTGCTTGGGTTGGCACTGTCTACTTATCTACTAATATTAGGCTCTTTGTGCCTAAGGTTCCTCATCTGTAAAATGGACATAATAGTAGCAGCTCGTACATTACAGGGTGTTGTGTAGATCGGAAATTATTATATTTCAAGCATTTAGAATAGCACCCTGAGTCAGCACTCTAATACACGTTGAAAGTGGTCACTACAAAGACCAAGGACATCGCCGCTGAGCAAGTGCTGATGCAGTGCGACCACAGAGGCTGGTTCTCTTGAAACCTGACTGGTGTCCTTGTGAAAAGCCAAGGGGAACAATCTTTCCTGACTTCATATTGGGACCTGGATGTTTCCACAAAGCAGCCACGTATTACTTTGAAATACTATCACAAAGCAGGCAATGTACTGAGGTTCTGAAGGTTCTGCTTCCTACAAAATACACCAGCAGGATCTAGGGGGCACAGCAGGGAACCAGGAAGAGGTAATGCGAGAGGAGGAGGAAGATCTAAGTGTGTTAGATTCCTTGTCCACAAGAAGCTGATACTCTAGCCCAGGGGTCGGCAAACTACAGCTCAAGAGCCACATGTGGCTCTTTGGCCCCTTGAGTTTTTAGCAAAGGCCAGCTTAGGGGTACCTTAATTAAGTTAATAACAGTGTACCTACCCATATAGTTTAAGTTTAAAAAAGTTGGCTCTCAAAAGAAATTTCAATCGTTGTAGTGTTGATATTTGGCTCTGTTGACTAATGAGTTTGCCGACCACTGCTCTAGCCCGAGTAGAACCTTTATTTGCTAAAATGTAAAAAGAAGGCGGGAGAAGAAAAAAAGCAAAGAAGCAGAGCAAGCCACTTTCTGGTTTGGAGAAGCCCACCCTGTGGCTATGGCCCAGCAGCCCATTACTTACGCGCTCGACATGGCTGGCTACTTTCCCTCTTTCCCTCGCCAGCTGGGAAACTCCTCGGTCGCCCTCCTAAGGCCCGCCTGGCTGAAGGGGTGTGGGCCAGGGGCGCTCAGAGGGTGGTCCTTCCGGAGAGAGGGGCAGGGGCCTGGGAATAGCCTCGCACTTCGGGCAGGGAAAGGTGACAGCCAGGGATGCTCAACCACAGAGAGGGGAACTGGATGGGTCCCACTGCGACCCAGCGCCACTGGAACTTCACTGTGGCCACAGGTCTGGACGCTAGGCAGAACCTAGCAACGGAGAAGCTACGCCTGCGCAGTGCCATTCCTCTGAGGGAGGCCTGGCACTTCCGCCCCCCCCCCCCACCCTGCGCGCTATGCGCCTGCGCCGCCCTCTGCTGTTTCCGTGGCAACCGCTCCCAGAAGGACGCTGAGGCAGTCCCTGCTGGGGCCAGCGGATGAGCTGCTGAAGCCTGGCAGGAGCCGGAGGGAGGAGCCGATGGGCGGAGAACACGCCCAGCGAGATTTATCCGAACCAGCCTCGGTCCCATCCATTCGCTCGTCATCCCGTTTCCATCTACTTTCAGATACATAGCCCTGGACACGGCAAATTGTTGCCTCAGTCTTTCCACCTGAAGAGTAACAGTCATTCCTTCGCTCAGAACGTTACTGGGCATCCGCCCTGAGCCAAGAGCAGACTTGGTTGGGGACACAGGACAAAGGAGGACACTGTCCTTCCGAATGAAAAGGGACTTCACGAAAACGAAGGCTCAGGTGCGCTGTACATGTGAAAAGCTATGTGGGTGTTCGTTATTAGCAAGTCGCTCCGAAGGCTTTCTTTGCTCTTCTTCTGTTTTAGTAACTTAGAGGTTTATTTGCAAATTTTACACGGCAATTCGTACAGGAATACACTCAGAACTCATGCAAGCCAAAAGAGCGCGATGAGAACATTCACGTAGAAATGACGGGATGGGGTGACAGCGCCCCTTTCCCACAGTTAGTAGTGCAATGATTAGAAAAGTAAAATCCAGCGAAAAATAAAGGCACGTCCTAACGAAAAAATTCAGGACAACCTCAAGCCGTCGCCTTCAGAAATGGCACTGCAATACAGAATGACATTCATCTCACCCCCACCCCACCCCCTTCCGGAATATCCCTCCTGGGGAAAGAAACCAAAATACCGAGAATTCTCACCAATAATTCTGATGAAAAGAAAAGACGAGTCTAAGAAGTGAGATGAAAGGTTAGAGGACAAAACAAGCAAACAAGTGCGGAGTACAAAAACCCCCCGGGAAATAGAATACTCATGTATACATCAGCATGTTTTCAAATGCAAGTAATAGAAAACCCAGTTTCCAAGGGCTTAGACAAAAGCAAGTTTTATAATCTCTCTTAGCAATAAGAATAGAGGTGAGGCTGTTTCACAACTGATTATCTCAGTGTTTTAGTGACATCATCCATCATGATGGTCTTTCCATCTTTTGGAGCTGTCTTAGGATGCTGGATGCCGCCCTACACTAGTTTGCATCATAATCAGGCAAATTATAAGCCCATCGTTCATTGGAAAACAACTGGATACTTTATTAGAAGGGATGGACTCTCAGATGATTGGAATTGCCAGACAACAGTGCATTTCCTAACAGTGTGACTAGAAGCAGCTCCAGTGACGTGTCTGCACCTAAGTCCCTCTCTATACACTGAGATCACCTGCTTGTCACTCAAAGTGTGGGGTGGCTCCTTGGCTGGATTTTAAGTTGTCATGTACTGGAACCCCAGAGGGTATGACCCTGTGTATGTGGTATTGGGAGGATTTAGTTTCTGAAATGTTTTACTGGAAACTCAGTGCTTGAGCACTGTTGATGATTTTCTCATATTCCTCCCTGAATGCAGTAAGGAGCGGAGTCTTCCAAAGATGAGTTTACCTAGCCTGTAACGAGGTTGTGGTAAGGTCATTGACAAGCGTGAGTCCTGGACTCTGAGAAGTGACTGCCGTGATCCCATTGAGGTTTCATGGGACTTCAAGGCACGCGGAAAGCACGTGGCACGGACTTTGATCCAGTTCCTCCTCCATCCTCCGGTGGGCCTGGGGCACCGTGGATAGTGAAGGCAGGCTGGATCAAAGGGAAAAGGTGTGCAGTTCAAATAGAATTTGAAGGCCCTCTTCTCTGAACTCACACGTGAGAAGCATTTTCTGGGCTTCTAAGGATAAAAATACCACTCTACATAAAGGTGTACTTTAAAATGCCAGATGTGAAGCTCTCCGCTGTAGCACCCGCCTTGTAGGTCTGGTGATTGTCTGTACAAAACCAAATGGGTGAGATACTTCTGCTTACATTTCCACACGTAACTGGAAATAAATAAGGCCTGGGTTTTATTAACTCAGCATTATTAAAGTGAACATTGGTAGATCTTTGTTGTTCAAACACATAACATTCACAGTCTTTCTAACCAACCCCTCAATGTCCAGGACAGGTTACAATTTGTGATAGGGACAGTTCCACTCACCTCGAAGGACTGACATAAGGACTGGATGAATAATGTATTCAGAGCTCTTGGCACAAATTAGAACCCACACGCTATTGTGTGGCAGCTGGTCCCCTAAGCTGCTCAGGTTGCCTAGGGGTCTGCTCAAAATTCACATCTCAATTAGCAGGATTCCTAGTGTGGGGGTTCAGAGAAATCTTGGGAGACAACCCAGGTGTCCAAGATCTGCTCCTCGCAGGATGTGCAGCTGGGCGCTCACAACACAGACACCGGCTTAGCAACAAGGACTCCAACAGCTGATAGCTGCCTGCCTGGTGGAGTGTGGCTGTCCAGCTTGGCTTCCCTCCAGTCCATCACAATACAGCACAGGGGACTTGGGCCGGGAAATGACTCTTATTTGACAGAGTTCATTGAGAAAATGCTAGTCAACTGAATTAAAAGGGATATGAGTAAGCTGTGCATCACATTCTGGATGGAATTCCAAAAAACACACACACAAAAAAACACAGATGATACAAACTCCAAAGCTATTTTACGTCAAATAAACATCACTTCCACTGGGAAATGAGCGAGTGTGTGTGTGTGTGTGTGTGTGTGTGTGTGTGTGTGAATGTGTGTGTGTGTGTGTGTGTGTTTCTTGGAAGCGGCCTTATTATCTATAAATAAAACTGCCCAGTGTGAGAAAAAAATAAAAAGGAACTGGCCAGAGGCAGGATGTTTTCGATGATTATTATTATCCTGCCTTTTCCCACAAACACAGAGGCAACTTTTGTAAGCCAGGTGCAAAGGAGGTCACTTCTTATTGTTTTAACACCTGCTGTCTTTCAGAATGAACGCAGCTTCCACCAGCCATTGATCAATTCAGTCTTCAACCCACCAAGCATGAGTGTCTACTATATTTTGATAATATTTCTGAATAACCTACGTGTCTGTCCAGTTTCTGTTTTGTGTTGTTTTGTCGTACCACTTCCCGCCCCTTTTGCTGTTTTCACAGGGCTTATAATAAAACAATAGTCCTTGATTCAAGGGGCAGAATGCTGATAACAGCTGCATTGTTCATGAAACAAAAGTGATACATTCAGGAGACTTACCTAGAGACGTGAATTGCTTATGGCCCTGAGTATATCAGTAAAAATGCACCTTAACAGGAGAGAAAATATCTACTGAATCTATTAATTACGCTGCCAGGTATAACAGAAATATAATCTTGGTTTTTAAAAAAGCAGGCAGAAGGTCAGTAGGAATTTTCACATGCACACGGCTTCCTCTGCCTGCCTGCCAGTTTTCTCTCTGCGTGTCCCCCTCTGCTTACTCTCTCCCCAGAATGCAGTACCTCTGAGAAGTGGTGTGGCCCTGCAGCAGGGCTAGCATACCCGAGGCCCTCACAGCAGATGACAGACGGTGGTCGTTGGCAGACTTTCCCACGGCTTCTTACTGCTCAGATGGCCAGTGCGGCCTGTGGGTGCAGCTTGTGGGCATGTGCCTGGCTCATGCAGCCCCATGGAGTTGTTTACTTATAATGTTTATGCATTAAACATTGTTGCAGATGTTTTAGTTGTCCTAGTATAGAACATGCAGATAAAAAAAAAGACAGCGTCAACTTTTAAAATGCTTTTAGTTAATATATATAAGTGCAGAAAAGTGTGCAACTCATAAGCATCCAGCTCAATGAAGGTTCTCCAATTGCAAACACCTGTGGGATAAGTTCATGGACCAAGACGCAAAAGAGCAGCAGAATCCCAGCAGCTCTCCTGCGCCTTCCAAGACTCATCCTGTGTCTCCTTCTTCCCCAAGGCAATCATGCCTGCCTGACACCAGAGATGATTTTCACCCCAGAGAGGAAGACCTTCTATGTAGACTCCATGAGAAAGGAACTGCACAGTGTGTATTCTTTTCGGATTACCTGTGGCTGCTCACAGCTTGAGACTCATCGGTGGTGTTGCTTGTAGGTGACATCTGTTCTCATTGCTGGGCGGTCTTCCCTGGTCTTCAGGGACCACTGTTCACTTGTCCTTTCTGCAGCTGAGGGGCGGCTGCTCCCAGTCTGGGGCTGTCATGAGCAATACGGCTGTGATTGATCTCGCACGCACTTTCATATGCATTCAGGCCCCTTGTTGGGTTAGAGGGTGAGCATACGTTCAACTTTAGTAGCTAAGTGGAACCTTGGTTTTGGAACTTAATGTGTTTGAGAAGCGATGTGTTTGGAAATCAAATCATTTACTACATAGTATTCCCGTTAGAAGCAGTGTAAATTGAATTAATCTGATACAGACCCCCAATTAATTCCCTGTTTTGGCTTTTCTTATATACAGTACATGTCTAAGTACTGCTTAAACTGTAAACAAGCACTTTAAAAACAAAAAAGGTCATGCTATGTAATGAAAATTTAACAAAAAGGAAATGAAATGTATCCTTAGCAACACTCTTAGTAACCTCAGCACTCTTGATGGCCTCTTCATGCTTTAGAATTTCAGACACTTGCAATTATTTTTCTTGTGCTCTAGCATTGTTTTCCCCATTTGCCTTTGCCCCAA